AATAGCATGCTTTCCAAAAATTTCAAACCATAAAATTCTAAGGCTCCATTATTGGTTTTAATTTGGTAGAAAGCATTTTTTTGGAAAATGAATTTCTTTCGATTATCTATTTTCCATTATTTGTTTGGGTAGAAAACAATTTTTTCATAGGTGGAATGTTACTTTTGGATAGATATGACTCGTAATCAAGCAGCATTTCACTTGCATCATATTTGCATGGTCGCAGGATGGAACGCAGAAATCGAAGCAATAGTAGTGAAACAATATTACCCATGCAACATCAGGAGCTGCGTGCAAAACACCAGAGTCTTACACAGGGGGTTAGGCTATGCATGCAAGTTAAGTTCTCCGCACGTGCTTTATAATTTTGCCGGTTTGCGACTTTAGACACTGATTGTGTTTTCCCAAAAACCAAACCTAGTGATGAATACCTTTCGCGTCTTTGATCGTCGAGTTAGGTGAAGAATTGAAAAGTCTTGTGAATTTTCCTTTAGCCTTAACCATTTCTAACCTTCTTCTCGTGCCGAGTTCTCGCGACATCGAGCCATGAGTTTGCCTTCTTAATTTGACCGATTCTAGTACTGTCTCGACGATTCTACTTCCTGATTGAGTTTTTCCTTCTTTTCTGAACCCATATGTGTTCTACATATGGCCTTAGTCCTTGAGAATTCATGCTCCATCCACCCTAACGAACGCTCCGTGCAATGATGGGTGCATCCGAGATTGTGAATTCTCAAACCATGGACCATCCATCCGCGCCAACCCTTCCAAAGGTAAGGCTTGTAAGTAATGCATTTGGACTCATAACCATGGACCCTCTTTTGACTACCATAATCCTTGAACTTTAGAGAACTAGAGCCATGGTTAGGTTGCAAACTCATTGCATCATGTTGTGACTACTTGACTACTTGTGCATTCCTTACTTGTGCATATCTTACTTGTGATTAAACTAACCTCTTGTGTTGACTTGTGTTTTGTAAATAAAGTCTTAACAAACTAATCAATGACTAAAAATGGACTTTGCTTAATTAATTTGAACTTATAAAATCTAAACATACTTGACTTAGCAAGACTATAGGCTTATACCTTCGAGAGAATTACCGAAAACAAATTAAATTAATGCTTCGTTATCTAGTACGAACACCATGGCTGGCTGCTGCCGCGCCGCCTGGTGGCTGCTGCAGCCGGCGAGGGCTGGTGGTGGTGGCCGCCGGCCGATGGTGGCCGACCGGTGCGTGTGGTGGTGTGTGGGTGGTGATTAAATAAATAAACAAATTAAATAAAATAAATAAATTAAAGGGGAAGGGGAAAAATTAAGGGGAAAAATAAAATAAGAGGAGAGAGAGAATTTACCTTTGGGTGCACTCCACCTTAGGCATATGATGGGTATTTATACCCTCTCTCTTAACCTCCTACTTACTACCCTTAACAATCCCTTTCCTACTCAAACTAGGATTTCTAATCAAAATAGGATTTTGACTTTCTTTAAAACTTTGACTTTTAAAAATTATCTTTTATAAAAAAATATGCCCTAATATTTCCAAATCATAAATTAAAATATTTTCAAGATTATTAAATAATTAAAAATACACTTTTAATAAAAATCATTCTTTTTAAATTAATGAAAAACCCTAAATAATTCATTTCGAATTATTTAAATACTTTTAAGAAAATACTTATTTAAATTAAAATACGTATAAAAATACGAGGTATTACAGTCTACCCCCCTTAAAAGAAGTTTCGTCCTGAAACTTGAGTACAAAATTCAAAAAAAAAATTTCCTCACTTTGTATAATATTGCTGTACTTTTTGTCATAATATTGCCTTTAACAACTCTTTAAGATCAAAATTACTTGAAATAACCATCAAAAATGTGCAAAAAGCACAAAAATAACTGAAAATACGGGAAAAAGCGCGAAATTCTACCGCATTCTACCCCCCTTAAAGAAAACGAGTTACGTCCTCGTAACTCAATAAACCTTAAACAACTCGGGATATTTCCTTCTCATCTCATCCTTAGCTTCCCAAGTTGCCTCCTCATACTCTTGGTTAGACCATAGCACTTTAACAATCTTAACTTCCTTATTATTACGTGTACTACGCACTTTACTATCAAGGATCTTGACAGGTATTTCCTCATAAGTTAAGCTTTGATCTAACTCAATAGTTTCAGGTTGTAACACCTGTGACTTATCAGGGCTATACCTTCGTAACTGAGATACATGAAATACATCATGCACTTTACTTAGCTCTATAGGTAAGGCCAACCTATAAGCCACTTTGCCTATCCTTTGCAATATCTTGTATGGACCAATATACTTTGGGCTAAGCTTCCCTTTCTTTCCAAATCTCATTACACCTTTCATTGGTGATACCTTTAACAATACTTTGTCACCAACCTCAAATTCCTCCTCTCTATGCTTCAAATTCGCGTAGCTCTTTTGGCGATCTTGCGCCGCTTGAATCTCCCTTACCTTTTTATCAATATCCTCAATCATTTCAGGCCCTAAAATCATTGTTTCACTTATGTCGTTCCAACAAATAGGACTTCGATACTTCCTTCCATATAATGCCTGAAATGGAGCCATGCCAATACTTGCATGGTAACTATTATTATAGGAAAATTCAATCAAGTCTAAGCTATCCTCCCATCCTCCTTGGAAATCTATAACATAAGCTCTTAACATGTCTTCCAAGGTTTGAATGGTTTTTTCAGTTTGCCCATCTGTGGTAGGGTGAAATGTTGTACTCATCTTAAGTGTTGTATCAAAGTTTTCCTGCACACTCTTCCAAAACCTCGAAAGAAACCTATAATCTCTATCAGACACAATATCTTTTGGAACTCCATGTAACCTCACCACATTTTTTATGTAAGCTTTTGCAAGTTGTTCCATTTTCCAGGCCTCCTTCATTGGTATAAACACCGTAGATTTTGTAAGTCTATCAGCACTACCCAAATGGTGTCATTTCCACTTTTTGACTTCGGGAGACAAGTCACAAAGTCCATTGAAATACAATCCCATTTCCATCCAGGAATTTCCAATGATTGCACAGTTCCTTGCTGTCTTTTGTGCTCTATCTTCACTTTCTGACAAGTTAGACACTTTGCCACAAATTCCGCAACTTTATTCTTCATTCTGGGCCACCAATACACCTTTTTCAAGTCCTTATATAGTTTGTCTCCTCCTGGGTGTACTGAGTATGGTGTATTGTGACCCTCTTCCATCAACTTCATTTTTACCTCCTCACATTTTTGTGGTACACACCAACCGACCTTTGTACCTTAAACTCCCATCTTCATGGATCTTGAAATCCGTAGCTTTTCCTTGCTTTATTTTCTCACGAATCCTGTCCAACTTTACATCTCCTTCTTGATTTTCCCTTATCTCATCAAATATTGTTGGTTGAATACTTAGATTCGCAAGTATGCCTGTTGGCACTCCCCATTCTACCACTTCTAGATTCATTTTCCTCATCTCTCTACATAACTCATCAGCCACTATCAAAGTATTCAGTCCACGACTAGTTTTACGACTTAGAGCATCTGCGACTACATTTGCTTTTCCCTCATGATATTGTATTTCTAAGTCATAATCCGTTATATATTCTAACCATCTCCTTTGGCGTGTGTTTAAATCCCTTTGAGTGAAAATGTATTTCAAACTCTTATGGTCTGTATAAATCCTACATTTCACCCCATATAAGTAATGTCTCCAAATCTTTCGTGCAAAAATGATTGCAGCTAATTCTGGGTCATGACTAGGGTAATTTACTTCATGAGTCTTTAATTGTCTTGATGCATACGCAATCACCTTCCCGTTTTGCATAAGTACACATCCTAGACCATTCTTGGGTGCGTTACTATATACATCATAAACTCCTCCATCGTCTGGCAGTGTAAGCACTGGCGCTGTGATCAGCTTTTGTTTCAAGAGTTGGAATGCTTCCTCACACTTGTCATCCCATTCGAACTTCTTGTCCTTTTTCATTAGAGAGGTTATAGGTTTAGCAATCTTCGAGAAATCTATCACAAAACGTCTATAATACCCTGCTAAACTTAAGAAACTCCTAACGTCAGACACTGTTTTCGGCGTAGGCCAACTCTTCACTGCCTCGATCTTTGCGGGGTCTACCTCTACTCCATATTTGGACACAAAATGGCCCAGAAATGCTACTTTCTCCAACCAAAACTCACACTTAGAGAACTTTGCGTAAAGCTTGTTTTCCCTTAGTGTTTGTAGAACTGCCTTTAGATGTTCTACATGTTCTTCTTTACTCTTCGAGTACACTAGTATATCATCTATGAACACTACCACAAACTTGTCCATAAATGGATGAAACACCCTATTCATCAAGTCCATAAAGATTGCTGGAGCATTCGTCAAACCAAATGGCATTACTGTGAACTCATAACGTCCATATCTTGTTCTAAATGAAGTCTTGGGAATATCTTCATCTGCAATCCTAAGTTGATGGTATCCAGACCTTAAATCAATCTTAAAAATACAGTTGCGCCTCTTAACTGGTTAAATAGGTCATTAATCTGTAATACCCGAGATTTTAAAACCCTATTTATCATACTCTAATATTTATTTTATTAGCTTAATTAAGGTTTTGTCTCTATTTTAACAAGAACAAATGTTTTAGTCTTAAATTTTATTTTAAAATGTATTTCAGCTTAAGTAATATTTTTATGTTCCGTATGTTTACAGATTTATATCAAAATCAGTATTTTTGCCCGAGAGAATAAAATGACCAAAATGCCCTTACTCATACAAAAGGACAAAACCCACCTCTTAAATATTAATTTCCTTCACGATTAAGTTATGAAGATCAAAATTATTTTACATCTCCTAATACTTGTTGCTTAATGTCTTGCTAAACCAATCAAGGATAATTGATTAGACTTTGCCAACTTAGCTTGAGTTTATCCTACTTCCTCAAGGTGTAGGTATAAAAGGGAACAAGAAGACAATTCCACCTCTTCAATTACCACCTTCACGGTTAAGAAATAGATGGTACAAAGTCTAATTTTGCTTCTTTATGCAATTTATTGCTCATAACCCCATAATTATCATAATAGCAATTTGATCTTATCATCCTTTTCTTAATGCAATAAGAAGACAAATTCTACCTCTTCAATTACCACCTTCACGGTTAAGAAATGACTTGGGATAAGGCCAAATTTGTTTCATCCAATTCCTATAAGAATCAAATTATAGTTATCAAGTGACTTATAATCCTATTTTCTTCCTCCTTCTCTTGCAAGTCTTAGCAACAAACATACTACTTTCCAACCGTTAAAGAAATACCGCAATTACTGTCACCCCTCTTCTCCTACTACCGCCTGACCTCTATCATCATCGGTCAACCGTCGCCGCCCCCCGTGTGCGCTGCCTCCCCTGTACTGCCCAAAACCACCCATCCATTTCTTTCATTTTGGGTGATGCGTGCTATGTTCTTGCCAAGTTAAAGATTGGTCTTATGAAATCAAGCTCTTAAACTTGTTTATTTATACACCCAAAGTAAGGGACACTTTATGATTTATGTTTTGTAAAAGGATTTGATTTAATTAAATATACTTGTTTACTAGCTTTTTGAAGGAATTATGATACAACTACTTTTATCAAAAAGTTCTCAAAAAGTTACGTAACATTTATTTCTAAAGATGAGTTTAATATTGTTTTCATACTAAATTAATTAAAGAGTTTATAATTTTAATAATTTTCCCTACTAATGCAATAATTTATATTTTCAAGAAGAATCGAACCTCGGAGCTCAGTGAGAACGATAGAATAAAGGCTAACAGGAAGGTTATCAGACTGTAAATCGAGGTAACGGCTATTGCTAGTACCCGCAATTCCCTTCAAAATGTGTTTATAAAAGCATGATGTCAATTTTGAAAGTTAATTATATCTCTGGATTTATTGACTTGCGGGATGATGATTGTGTTTATTAATGCCTCAGTCTAATGATTTATATGAATGATTTTATTGATAAACGTTGTTTTATTGATCTTTGGATCTTACGAAAGTATGTCATGAATCTATGAATGACTTATGCAAAAGTTACACAACATGATAAATAACAGTGAAAAACCTAGTTCGTCTGGCAGTATATGTTTACAGGTTACTTTTCGGTCATGCATGTACCCATGGGGCATTAGCCCAACTATGTCGAGCATCTGCTCTATGTTATGGGCATCGGCCCATCGCGGAAGACGTTCCGCCATGTCATACTTGCCAGCGACTAGCATGTTAATATGAACGTTATATATATATCATTATATGAATTTTATTAAATGTTTTAAGATACTCTATTCTCCCTGTTTTGTTAACTAAAATGAATTGAAATGATGTTACACTACTAGAGTAGTTCGTTACTAAGTCTTCGGCTCACCCGTTTTTATGTTTTTATGTTTTAGGTATTGCTGGGGATGATGGAGACGAGTAGTAGCGAGGATTTTACTTTCAGTTATCACTTAATAGTAGTTATAGTTTTAATTTGTTTAATTTGAATAGTAAGACTAAGCTACTTAGTAAAGTTTGAGATAAGATAGGATTTTCTATTATAAAAATTAAGAATAATGTTTGTTATAAATAGATTACTATGTTTTATAAATCAAGTTTGTTAATTAAGTATGTTTGTTGCCTTGTAAATCTCGTGAGGGATTTACGACAGTGACGTCCCGACCGTGTTAGGTTAATTCCGCTGCTAAAATTATCTTAATAATTGAATTAGAGGTCGGGGTGTTACATAATCTTTGGTAATGGGTACTTGTTCTATATGGTGACCTTATTTAATTCCCTATAATCAATAAACAACCTCATACTTCCATCCTTCTTTTTCACATATAACACTGGCGCTCCCCAAGGTGATGCACTTGGTCTTATATAACCCTTTCCTAATAAATCCTGCAATGGCTCCTTTAACTCACTCATCTTTGCAGGTTCCATTCGATATGGTGCCTTGGAAATTGGTGTTGTTCTTGGAACTAGCTCTATTGTGAAATCAATTGCCGTTTTAGGTGGCATTCCAGGAATTTCTTCCGGAAACACATTTAGAAACTCATTCACTACTTCTATATCCTCAGGCTTAGTTTTCTCCTCATGCTCCATATTCCTCACACTAAAAAAATTACACTGGATGCCCCTTCTTAATATACTTTTCCAATTTTAACACAGATATGATCCTTGGGAACTTGGTTTCACCATGCATCCAATATGTCACCAACTCATTATCAGTTGTAGTCATTCTTACTTTCTGCGATCTTCAACTAATCTCTACACTGTACTTGCTTAACCAATCCATTCCCAAAATGACATCGAAGTCACTCAATCCAAACTCAATGAGATCCGATATCCTTCGATTTCTAAAGGTACATCTTACACTTTACTACCCCACCCGTAGGAATAACTATAGGCAAATCTACCTTATCTACGGTTCTCAAACAGTTTGATAGTTTTGAAACAATAGCCTTTGAAATGAAAGAAAAAGTTGCACCAGAATCAAACAAGACTTTAATAGGAATAGAGTTAATAGAAAATTTACCAGTGATGACATCTTTCGTGGAATCAGTCTCATGCCTACTCATAACATTCAACTTTCCTGCAGCCCTACCTTTTTGTTGGTTGTTACCATTATTATTGTTGGGTTTCGCCGCATTCTGTTGTGCTCCCTTGTTCCTAGAATAGTTGTTACTTCTTTGAAAGTTCTTTTGAGCCCCACCTTGATTATTTCCCTGTCTGTTTCTATTGGTGTACTTGGAGAAACATTCATACTCCCTATGTCCTAGCTTGTTGCAAGCTCGACAGGTAACCAAATTCCCATCACAATCCCTTCTAGGGTGGTCATTCTTACATTTCTTACAATAGAAATGCCTTGCTCCCTTGTTATTTCCCTGGCTAGAGCTCCTAGCTCCACCATTAAAGATCCGTCCACCTTGGCGATTGTTGCCTTGGAAATTATTGTTGTCGTGGAAGTTGTTGTTATTATGGTGGTAATTTTGCTTCTTAAAGTTGTTCTGGTTACCTTGCAGATTTCCAAAATTCTGTCCCACCTCTTTTCTCTTTTCTCTCCCTTCTATCTCAGTTATCTCTTTCTTTTTCTTTAATTCTAAGGCATATAGGTGTGCAGCTCTCTCATACACTTTATCCAAGGTTTCAAATACTTGACCGCATAGCTTTAACTGCAAATCAGTAGTCAGACCACTCTCAAACTTTCTAGCCTTAGACTTTTTTGTAGAAACAGACTCCTTAGAAAATCGTGACAACTCAATAAACTTGGTGTAGTATTCAGTAACTAACATATTCCCCATAGCAAGATTAGAAAATTCCTCAACTTTTTTGTTTCTGTAAGAAGCTAGGGTAAAACCCGTCTTTAATCTTCTCCTGAAACATAGTCCAATTAAATCCAGGTAATGCCTTAATGGTAGCTTCATTTTGCTGCCACCAAAGGTTAGCTTCACCCCTAAGGTAATAGGTAGCACAACCTACTTTTGAGTTCTCTGGACACCCTACTGCCCCGAACAGTTTCTCAAACTCCCTCAACCAGTTTTCCAGTATAGTTGGATCAGGCTCTCCTTGATAGGTTGGTGGTTTACTCTGCGCCACCTTCTTAAACAATTCTCCTTGAGCATCTCCATTATTGGTTGAGTTCTTTGCCAACTGTTGAGCAACAGCTGCCAATTGCCTTACAACGTCACTCAACTCTCCACCATCATTGTTGTTACCACTCCCTCCTGCCATTCTTCCTCGCCTGAATAAACATAAAGGGGGTCTTTATTAAATACGGTCTTGGCTAGCTCTCAAGTTAGACACTCATCTAACTTATTAACACCTTTGAAGCTTACACATTAAATTTTAAGCTAACAAATTGGGGTTACAAAATTTGAAATACCCAGAATTTGTAGCTTTGTCAACCAAGTATTGATTGCTAACCAATCACACATTTAATAAAGCATCACATTAATAAATAAAATTAATCCCCATGGATTCCCAGAGTATTGAAATAATTTATTGGAATATTTTTAAGCAAGAAATGGCTTATTGGAGTAGTGATACGAAATGAATGATTGAGAATGAAATTAATGATTTGTCAATAAAATGAATTAATTTACAAAGAATTAAATGGAATTTTATTGATAAGTAAGAAAATGAATGGAATACTGAAATAGAATGAGTTTAAATAACTTATGCAACTACATATGTTTACTAACTCACTGTGGACATGCCACTTATTACTTTACTAGAATTGAAAGAATTTAAATTGCGGAAATGAATCTAGGAATCCTAAAGAAATGAAACTACAAAAATCTAGTCATTTTGAACTTTATCCCTCTTATAGGGAGATTGTTTGTAGCTTCCAGGATCGATTTCAGGGTCATCCTCTTCCTCCATTGGTTCAGGTGACTCTGGTTCTTGCTCTACTTGGACAAACTCTTCATCTTCCTCATCATCAGATGAAATATCAATTATAACTAGAGTTGGAGGTGGATTTGGATTTGGATTTGGAATTTCCATAATGGAACTATCAACAGTCTGGTTACTCTCATCCATTATCTCTCCTTCTTCCTGCCCTCCACCTGTCCCTATTTGATTACCCTGAGTGGGAGAAGAACTTCCTGACTGGTGACTACTGGAAGGGGAATTATTCCCTGCAAGAATATTATAGTAATAGTTGGGATATGGAATGTTTAAGTGCTGACAATAATCTTTCTCAACTTTAACAAGGTAAGAAATCAAGTATCTGTAATTAGGGTACCACTGTCCATAGAAGTTTTTATATTTAGAGTAGTTTGGAATGTCCCATGGTAAATAGAAATAAGAGAACTTTGATTTAACAACAAGGTATGGAGGTTCATCTGGAAGACAGTGAAAAGTCATAGCAGAAACCCGATCAGGTTGGTCATAGTGCTTGTTTCCTAAGACATTACTCATGTAGGAACAATAGAACTAGATTTTCTTGACATAGTCAAACGGATGTTCATAATCCTTCTTAATTAAAGTACCAATTTGGGAATGTTTGCTAGGAAGAATTGGCATCCTGTAAAGGAAAAGGTTTAGAAAAGAATTCCCTTCCCAAAGAAAGTAGAATAATACAGTTCTTGCATGGTTTAGGTTCAATGTTCAATCAAACAATTTCGCCTATTTCTAATCATATAAGCACATGCTTTAACATAATCACTTCACATGATCAAACATCTCAACCTAAAATACTAATGCATACAAGAACATGATTATTTCTAACTTATATGCCCAAATTCTTTCCTACCCAAGCTCACCAACATGCTTTTAAAGCTTTTAACACATAATACTTACCTCAATCCTTGCTATCCTGCAAAATGAATAAACTAAAAATATTTTTGACTCTTTTTTTTTTTAAAATTAAAATTTCAAAAATAATTTTTGAAGAAAACCAAAATATTCGGCCACTTATAAAAATAAATTCGGACACCCCAAAAAAAAAATTCAGATGTCCTAATAAAAAATAATTTTGAATTTTTCCAAAATAAAAATAAAAAAAATTTCGGACTTCTAAAAAAATAAATGAATAAATTTTTCCGGTTTCCAAAAATTAAAATAAGTTATAATAACTCACTTTTAAAATAACTTAATTAAATAAGCACTTGGCCAAGTTTAAAACAAAACACTTTAAAATACGTTTTTAGCTTTAGTGGTAATAAAAATCTCAACCAAAGCTCCCAGATACAACTTTGTAACACCTAAGAAATTCCTTTCCTTTAAAATACCCATTTTTTGCCCGTTTTAAAATACGAAACAAGAAAATCTAAGACATTAACGCCACTGTGCAAACGGCTAAGGCAAATATCCCTCACACACAGCGGAAGACTACTTTTAAAACCATTTAAAAACAAGTCAACTTAAAAAGTCAAAAAAAGTCAACCTGCAACTTGGAACCACTGTAGGCCCTTGAAACCCAATCAATATTTAAAACCTTTGCGTTAGTCTCATGACCACAATAAAATAAATATTATTCAAAGCAAATAAAACATATCATATTCCTATGAGAACTAAGCATAATTCGCTCGTCACTCATGCCCTTCATGAATATGCTTCATCACCAGGGCCAAGGTAAAGACAATGCCAAACAAACATACAAACACACAATCAGCAAAGCTGAGTACATAAGCGTAATAAAACACACTAACATGCTTTCATCCTAACATCACACAACTTACCGTGTAGCAACTGTTTACAAGCATACAAAACATCCAACACCTAACTAGACCACTATCAATGTTCATTTAATTTTGATTACACATCAAACGGGTTTCCCACCAAATCCCTGCCTCAAATAAATTGAGGTAAACTACACCGGGAGCTAACCGGGTAGGCAAATGTCACATAAATTGACTGGACGTCCTGCGCATAATAATAATAATAAAAAGGAAAATACAGAGTCCTGTACTCCCAGTAGAAGTTATGGTCAAATATAAAGTCGCATAACTCCCCCATATGTTCATACTCAAGGTATATACGTTCCAAGAGTTTTGGTGTGTAATCTCTTTCACTTTATGTTATTTACATATTATTAGACTCGGTGATGACTCTCAAACCACAGCACAATCAAACATTGTAAATCATTCAAGCAATCAAACATACCGATTTAATTCTTGAATAATTAGTGACCACATAAATTAAATGTTGAGTCCTTTTTAATCTATCTTAGTTTTAAAGACACCTTAAACGCATAATGCGCCGCAAATCCTATCCCTTGGTGTTAGAAACACCTTAAGTGCATATAAGCACCGCAATATAATTTATTCCTATATACCAAGACACTTAAATAGCTCCTTCCTCATGCTTATAGCATCAATAAAAATTATATGAACCATAATAAAATTCCCTTTTCATATTCCAAACCAAACCAAATTAAACATTTAGTTTAATTAAACATGCTCTCTAACATGCCAATAATAAACGTGTGGTTCATAACCAACATGCCGATATAATTAATTCTAATCACCAATTCATCACAAATAATTCATACATCACAAATCATTCACCAATCATCAAATTCCAACCAACACCTATCATGATACTACTTGGAATTAATTAAACAAAGCCTAGCATGCATCTACATATTCAAATAGTTACTAACTACGCGAACGTACCTTGAATATGATCTCAAAATCGCCACGACTAAATAAAATCACTCACTTGAAAGTCTCCTACAAACCAAAATTATAAAGAAGTATTAATACCTCTTTCACAAAAATTTCCAGCAATATATACTCTCTTTAAATCACTCATAAACCCTCTAAAATAATCTGAAATTTTATTTGAAACCCTTACTTTTATTCTCAATAAATGGGTAATTAAAAATCCTTTCAAGAAACCTAATTATAGCTTATATATAAAAATTCCATCATTATTAAAACTTATAAAATTGTTGTAATTTAGTTTAAAAACATTAATTTCAATACTTTTAATCAACCACAATCAAATTCCATCAATAGACATTAATTTAGAAACCTAAGGTTTTCAGTTTGGGGCTTTTTAATTTAAAATCAAATCTGAAAATTAAAATACAGAATACTTATTATTAAACATCCTAGAATCAAAACAAAACCCAAAAACAATAATTAGATTTATGGTAGATTTAATTAGAAATAAAAAATAATAATAATTTTTTTTAACACCACCGGTGCACACAGCCACCATGGCTGGCTGCTGCCGCACTGCCTGGTGGCTGCTGTTGCCCGGTGGTGGATTTTGGTGGTCAGCCGGTGCATGTGGTGGTGTGTGGGTGGTGATTAAATAAATAAATAAATAAATAAAATAAATAGATTAAAGGGGAAGGGGAAAAATTAAGGGGAAAAATAAAATAAGAGGAGAGAGAGAATTTACCTTTGGGTGCACTCCACCTTAGGCATTTGATGGGTATTTATACCCTCTTTCATAACCTCCCACTTACTACCCTTAACAATCCATTTCCTACTCAAACTAGAATTTTGACTTTCTTTAAAACTTTGACTTTTAAATATTATCTTTTATAAAATAATATGCCCCAATATTTCCAAATCACAGATTAAAATATTTTCAGGATTATTAAATAATTAAAAATACACTTTTAATAAAAATCATTCTTTTTAAATTAATGAAAAACCCTAAATAATTCATTTCAAATTATTAAAAATACTTTTAAGAAAATACTTATTTAAATTAAAATACGTATAAAAATAGGGGTATTACAATAAGTCATCGAACAAAACTCTCATCGTCAGGTTCGGAAGAATGAAAAGAACGAGCATCCTCCTTCTTCTTCTTCCCATCAAGGACTTAAGGAAAAACT